TTAAGGACGGGATTTTGTACAAAAAATATCGCCCAGCGTGAGTCACGAAACGGGACCCCGGCAGGTGCTGTTCTAGCGGCCAACGCTTCAAGTCTAATAATTTAAACTGCAGCCACATTCGCCCGATTTTTCAGGAACGGCTCCAATTTGTGTGCATACAATCTTATAAGGAAAGAGAGTAAATATTTTATTAATCAGTAATAGATTATCGAGGACAATAATATTTTTTTATTGAGTAGGCAATAATTTTTAGTTAATAAGCTTAAACAATCTTATAATTACTATTCCTTCATTATAAAAACAGAAATACGGTTTTTAAAATTACATGTAGTTTCTTCTTCAAAAGTGACGTTAAAACACGTATAACATGGAATAGTCAACAGTCTAATGTTTATATTTTCACATTAACAATGCGATAATGTAAATTAACTGCTATTTTCAGTAAAAAAAATATATACCTAACCTGAATTATTTTTTTACTTTGGCGAGTCATATTAACTTAAAAACAATGCTTCATTACTAAAATATATAGAAACTTGCTATTAATTGCGTTTGGAGAATAATAAGTATAGGCATAAAATATATATAAAATATTACTGTATGTATTTAGTCCATTGAAATGATAATTTTTTCCTCTGTCGATCAAACCTGGGTGTCGATCAAATCTGGGCGCAAATATGTTTTCGACCCTCAGGAATCCGAATCCGCAAATTTTTGACCTAGGTGATCAGGCAAGGGGTCAAAAGGTCAAAAAACCCGTAAAAAATAAGTTTTTTCGCAAATATCTCGTACACTACGGCAAGTAGCAAAAAAATAATTGCACCATCGTGTTCCCAGGGAAATTTTACATCGATTATATGCTATTGCTTATTAAAATTAAATAAATGTATGTCATGTTTTGGACAATTACTAAGCAAGAGAGGGGAAGTGTATATCTCCGGCGGTGAAACCTATTTGGGGACTAGTAGAGCGCGCACGCTACATGTATCGGCTGACTCGAAGCTGACAGCTCTAGCAGGTGCGCTTCTTTCGAATATAATGCGATTTCAAATATAATTAGCCTGCAGTTATAGTGGATCTGAATTCAATTTCCAGATACACTATTTTTTTTGCTACTTCCTTTAATTTTTAAATGGAAAACCAAAAATAATACTAATGAAAAACAGAAAAAAAAATTTTAGAACGAAATACTTATTGCAAAAATGAAATATAGTGCTCTGAAAAAGCGACTTGTAAAGCTTATTCTACAAATACCTGTTCACAAAAAAAGTCAAAATTTGTATAAACAATTGTTCCCAGAATGACAATTTTTTATTTCTAAATTTTAAAATGAGTAAAATAAGCCTAGTAGTCCGGGCGAATTAGTTTTTTTTTTTCAATAATCGGGCCCACCTCGAATTTTATGGGTTTAAAATTAAGTAAAAAATACACAGAATAAAAGCCTAAATTTGTGTATTTGNGTAAATATCAAGTTTAATTTATAATGATTATTACAAATTAAGTACTTAAAGAATCTTAAGTAGGTAGGAAATTATATTTAAAAAAGTATTAATTCGCAAAGAGAAAATAAAACATTCAGTGTGATGGATGAACCTGGTGACTATCTACCAATCTAGCTACATCCGGTTCAATATTGGTGAGTTGCAGCCTTAAATCTCCACGTTCGTTGATTTTCAAACGGTTTCTTTATTTCGTCAAAATGTTTGTTACCACACTGAAGCTTTTTTCAACTAGGTATGATGATGGAAAAGCGATAAGGTATTTTTCAGCAATGTTCCACAATGTAAGATAATGTGTTTCAATGTTGCGTTGCAACCAGAACTTCTGATAGCCTTGGTTGAACTTCTGCTTAAGCTCTTCGTCTGTGCTGATGGTAATCAACTCTTCTTGCATTATCACATTGGCTTCTTCTATGGCTGTGGTATTGTACGGATTTATTATCCATTGAGGAATTTGTAAATTTAAAAGATCCTCAAACCTCTCCGTAAAATCCTTGTGTAATGCGTCCAAGCGAGTGACATATAATAAAATGTCATCATCTTGAAGCATTTCTGGTAATTTTGACAAATGCGGAAACTGCGAATATTCTTTTCTGCCTAAATTTTGTTTATAAAGGATTAGTTTACCCACGAAGGCCGATATTATTGATTTTGTTTTAATCAAGTTAAGATCGTCACCCTGCAGTTGCAAATTAACTTTGTTGAACATTCCAAAGATATCAGTCAAGTAATAAATAATTGTTTTACACTTGTTCAGATTTTCTTTCAAATTCGGATCTTTTTCTTGTAAAAACTCTAACACAGACTCAAAAATGGCTGAAAATTTTTCTAAGCAAGAGCCTCTTGATAGCCAGCGAACTTCAGTGTGCAGAAGTAATCAAGTAAAGACGTCGTCGTTTTCCTCACATAGCTGAGCAAATAACCGAGAGTTCAAAGAATTGCTTCGAATCTTGTTGATAGCATTTATTACATATTGTAAAGATTTATGCAATCTAGGACTCAGCTTTTTGCTACTAAATGCTGCCTGTGAATCACGCAGCGAATGACCAGTACATCAGGCAGTTGTCGCTTTAAGTGAGCTATAAAACCACGATGACGACCAACCATAGACGGTGCACCATCAGTCGCAACAGAAACAATGTTCTTCCATGGAATAGCTTTGTCAATAAAAAAATGTTCCACAGCCTGAAAAATCGATTCTCCTCTGGTATCAGTCTCTAAATATGTAGCAAAAAGCAGTTCTTGGCACATATTTTCATCTTTGATAAATCGAACATATCCTAACAACAGAGCTTCATTGCCGGGTAATGTAGACTCGTCCAACTGGAGAGAGAATCTGTTGGTCTGTAAGAACTTGCATAAAATGTTTTCCACATCGCGTCCCATCTCGTCTATGCGTCTCTGAACGGTGTTATTGCTCAAAGGTATTCTCTTTAAAATATCATGTGCGGGTTTGTGCAATACATTGTTAAGAACCTCCGAAATGGCTGGTAAGATAAGCTGCTCTCCAATTGTGTGGGGTTTCCCCGACTTCGCTATTAGTAAAGATATATTATAGGACGCTCGTAAACCATCATCGTCTTTAATAGATGATGACGCAAACATCGATCTTATGGATGGCCTTTTGTCTAGTTTTTCTTTAAGTGCTTGAAAAAATGACGAGCCATTATTCGCCATTATTCCATGGCTAGAAATTGGCCTCAATGATTTGGGATCGAGGGGGATTATCCCTCTCTATCCTGCCTCATCTCGTGTAGGCCTGGACAGCCTTCGTAGGTGGGCCCCATCCGTTGTCTACCCCGACCGCAAATGCGGCCGGTGTAGGCGCTTTGTGGGACCTCCTTTTGTCCTGGCTGGGCCCCGCCGGCTAGGGCCCTTTCTTCTGGCACTCTTCTTGCTTCGCCGGCTCGTCTGTGTAAACCCCGGGGGTGGTGTCATGTTTATGGTTGGGTAGGGTAGTGCGGCTATGTAGCCTGGGATGAGCTTTGCTAAGGTGGCCCTTAGCGCAGCGCGGGAGGAGAAGGGTAAAGAGGGTATGGGGGGGGGTGTATGTGTGTGTGTGTGTGTCGTTGTCTTCAAATGACAAGGGCTTACTTTTTTGTCAGCATGTACTCTTGATAAGTGGTCATCCATTTTTGAAGGCTTCATGGCATCGTTACTGAATACTTTTTCACATATGAGACACATCGGCAAGTGTTGATTTGATGGAGATGCAATAAATCCGAACTTCAAGTAGTCCAAACTGTATTGTCTGCATTTTTTTTCGTGTCCACCAACATAAAACTCAGTAATCCTGCAAATAAAAAACTACCTAAATAAAAAACAATAATAAACTGTTAAATTTGCACACTATCTTATTTTTATCACACCCAGGTAATGAATTCTTGTTAGGTATTACTGACTTGCTCATTGATAAACTTGGATACCTATATTAGGTAAGTAACAATAGTAGGTAATTAGGTATAGAAAATTCGTATTAGGTAAGTAGGTACCTATCAGCATAAGAACGAAAACCAAAGCAAACTGAACACTTCAAAGTTTAGGTACCTACTTACTTAACAACTTAAGTGTAAGTAATTTTTACAACTTACTTTAATACTTTTATACCTACTTATTTAAAATATGTTGTATGTTGTGTTTACCACTTTTTCAGTCACTTTACTTCACTTAATTTAGCTATGTAATAACTTTGTAATCTCTTGAAATAAATGAGTACTTTATATGAGTTATTATCGTTCAAGCTCCAACGAATTTCAAAACGCAAATGAACTTTCAACCTAAGTGCAAGCTCGTTAAATAGTAAAATATCAGGAACATGTTTGGACTTGATCATGAATTCGTTCGTGTTAAATCGCGTAAGCGTCAAATAGAGAGCAAGTCAAAACGCGTCTGNAGGTGACCTTGACCCCAGGCGACCTTGACAAGACCTTGACCCCAGGTGACCTTGACATGACCTTGACCCCAGGTGACCTTGGGGTGTCCTTGACATGACCTTGACCCCAGGTGACCTTGACTTGGCCTTGACCCCAGGTGACCTTGGGGTGACCTTGACCCCAGGTGACTTTGCCACGTCACTTCCTGGTCCAGAACCGGCCTATTATATCTACTGCCGTGGTGTTTCGATATGTGATGATTATTTAAGGGACACTTTAAATTTGGACAATTTTTGTGAGAAAATGATGGAGATAGAACTAAAACGTTTTCTTATTTTTAATTTGTTCGATTATCTGCCATATGCAACTGTTGTGAAATACAAATTAACGTCTCAAGAAAATGGTGATGATGGTCAAGATCAGACTAAGTCAAAGATTATCAAACATAACATGAAATTTTTATGAGATTTTGATATAGTTATATAAATTATATATCATATTAATAAATTGTATTGTATTAACAATTTTGTCTTTTCTTATTATGATGTAATATAAATAAAATAAATATAAGATTTTAAACTTTTATTGTTGATTTATTTATTACATGAGTACAGAAAAAATACATTATTTAAATACACAAAATAAAAATAAATTACATGAATAAAAAATAAAATGTATTAATTAACAACTAAGAAATTGTTCACGCACTTAAGATTTCCGTTAGATTATTTAAATCCATTATGAACAGAACCGTCCAAAGCATTGTAAGCCAAATAAGCATCGTGAATTATCAATGCATACACTCGTGTATTTTCAGGATAGTTTTCTTTCAGGTTTCAAATTCTAGTTTTATGTCTACAGTGGATGACTTCATGGCATCTTGTTGATGTGAACAATCGATAATAAATAGTGGATTTTTTCGGAACTCTCCAATATCCATCATTGGTTCACAATTATCTTTACCATAGAAACCGCGTTGAAAATTTTCGTAAGCACAGTAAGCTACAGAATCTAGTTTCTTTCCAAAGTCTAAATTCCAACGTTCATATGGATACACTTCTGAATTTAAATAGGTTCGGATATTGCTTATAGCTGCATGAACGAATAGAGTAACGTCCTTGCTCCTATTGTCAGAACTATCAGTACTCTGGAAACCGATAATGATATATCGAGATCTTTCTAAACTGTTAGTGGTCTTTATAGCCCATATACCTGTAGCTGATTTGCGAAGAGTCGGTAATTCATATACGTACGATAGGCCATCTTAATTTTAGCATTAACACTATTCTTATTAACGCGATTCAGTAACTTCAGGTTTTGTCTGTCTTCAGGCACGATGTGTCTTATCCTCTATTCGATTTTATTAATTTCAATATCTGCATCAACTTCTTCGAGGTAGCAATTCTTAAAAGATCGAGCAATTATCAATGTAAGCTCTTGTTTGGTGTTGAGAATACCCCTTGTATAATCTTCGGCAAACCCCATAAGATATTTTAGATGTAATTTCCCACTAAAAATATGACTGGCGGTATTAAAAATATCTTGGTTTTTCTGTGTTAATCCCCATCCATAAGATAGTAGTGTTTTTAAATGTGTTTGCCCCCATGATACCATAGTTTTCATTTTTGGATTCTACATCGAATTTTGTTGAGTTCTTTATAGTTTTACTTTCAATTTTTTTAAATAAAATGCACCGTTTTATTACACTCTTTTATTGACTGTCAACTGACACAGAGTACAGAACAACATACAACATAGAACAAAAAACAAAAGAACGAAACAGTAATACCAACTTATCAAATGATAATTATAACACATGAATCGATACAATCTAACCTTCTCCTAATTATCACTTTGATACAAAAATCTTTTAATTTCTAAAACTTCGCATCAATTGGTTCTTACAAAAATTGAACTTTGTCGTGTTTAGAGCTTTTGTGAGGAATCGGCTAACTGTTTTTCATTGTATTTTAAATCGATCAAGTTTCTTGCACCTTTTCTTTGATAAAGTAGTAACGAACGTTTATGTGTTTCGAACGTTTATTAAATTGTCCCGTTTTAATCAATCTGATTATCCACATAAAAGTCAATCTTAATCTGATTATTAGTAAGTTCATCTATTACAATTTTTATATACAACAATTAGTTTTAATCAATCTGATTATCCACATAAAAGTCAATCTTAATCTGATTATTAGTAAGTTCATCTATTACAATTTTTATATACAACAACTCCTTTACACACTCGGCAGCTGCTATGTATTCGGCTTCAATAGACGAAAGAGATACTATGAGTTGTCTTCTGGAACACCAGCTGATTGGGCCACCACAGAACAATATAACATACCCAGTTGTGCTTCTTCTAGTTGCATCAATCAGAGTCACTATATGCCACTAACTTATCTTCAGTGCTTGGTCTTTTATAGAAAATTCCCTCTTCTTCTGATGATGTTAAATATCGAAAAAAATAAATTTTTTACTTTGGAAACATCTTGTTCCCCTGGATTTTCGGTTTTTCGACTACAAAAATTTACAGCAAACGACAGATCAGGTCTAGTTTTCTCTGTTAAATACAAAAGACTACCAACAGCCTCACGATATGGATATTTAATGTCTTTCTCAGTACAGTCTTCATAGTTTGGATTGTACACTATAGGAGTCGAGACTGACCTTAAATTTTACATTCCAAATCTTTCTAGTGTGGTTTTAATGTAATTAGTCTGCTTCAAACCAATTCCTTCTTCAGTGTGGACTATTTCAATACCAAGAAAAAACTTGGATTTCTTGTCACTTCAAATTCAAATTCCTTTTGAAGTTCTTTTAACAATTTTTCTACTTCTTCATTGTTTTTACTTATCAAAATTCCATCGTCAACATGTATAGCCAGAAATAGTTCACTTATTTTGTTCTTGAACAAGCACTGTTAAATTTTTAGAGATTTGAGTCCAGCAGATTTCAGAAAATTAGTGAACCTCAAGTTCCACTTTAATGGTGCCTGCTTGAGACCATATAATGCCTTTTTCAACAAACAAATTTGATTAGCATTGTTCTTATTCTCGAAACCTTCAGGAGTTTTCACATATATTTTTTCATCAAGTTCGCCATATAGAAAAGCAGTTTTAATATCAAATTTTACTATCTTACAATCATTTCTGGTAGCTAGAGGAATCAAAATTCTTATTGAACTTATATTACAGACAGGACTAAACGTGTCTACAGTCAATGCCATATTTCTGTTCAGAACCACGAACAACTAGTCTTTATATTTTCCGTTTCCTTTTTTCCGAAACACCCATTTTGTAGAAAGAACTGTCTTATCTCTGACTTCACTTTTATTTACCATTTCCCACGTTTCATTTTTTAATAATGAGTTCTTCTCTTCTAATATAGCTTCCTGCCATTTAAATTTTTCAGGGCCGGATATTGCCTCTTGATACATCAGCAAGGCATATTCCGCTTCCTGCTCGAGATTATAATCTAGTAGTCTAGTTCGTAGTTTTACATGTCTTCCACAGCGTGTTTGTTTTGCTCCAAAATTATGCTCTACGTCAGAGATCCCCAAACTATTTTGGACAAGTGACCCCTTTTCCAAAATGAACTGTTACCTCAGACCCCCATGGCCAAATTACCTACTTTTAAGATCAACCCCCTTATTCATAATGGTCCGCTAACTTAAAACAGCTGCTACAGAGTGTTATTTTTCATTCTGACTTAGGTCAATAGAAGAAGACAGAGTGAGAATTAGCAATGCTTTAAATTAGCAGACTATTATGATTTAGTTTTTTCCTATTGATACAAAATACCTAGGTACTAAGGTACCAATTGGAAAACTTTGCACTTGGTTAAGTGAGTAAAGTTGACTTCATTTTCTCATCAAAATTTAACAAAATAAAAAGACATACAATTCAGTAAATATCAAGTTTAATTTATAATGATTATTACAAATTAAGTACTTAAAGAATCTTAAGTAGGTAGGAAATTATATTTAAAAAAGTATTAATTCGCAAAGAGAAAATAAAACATTCAGTGTGATGGATGAACCTGGTGACTATCTACCAATCTAGCTACATCCGGTTCAATATTGGTGAGTTGCAGCCTTAAATCTCCACGTTCGTTGATTTTCAAACGGTTTCTTTATTTCGTCAAAATGTTTGTTACCACACTGAAGCTTTTTTCAACTAGGTATGATGATGGAAAAGCGATAAGGTATTTTTCAGCAATGTTCCACAATGTAGGATACTGTGTTTCAATGTTGCGTTGCAACCAGAACTTCTGATAGCCTTGGTTGAACTTCTGCTTAAGCTCTTCGTCTGTGCTGATGGTAATCAACTCTTCTTGCATTATCACATTGGCTTCTTCTATGGCTGTGGTATTGTACGGATTTATTATCCATTGAGGAATTTGTAAATTTAAAAGATCCTCAAACCTCTCCGTAAAATCCTTGTGTAATGCGTCCAAGTGAGTGACATATAATAAAATGTCATCATCTTGAAGCATTTCTGGTAATTTTGACAAATGCGGAAACTGCTGAATATTCTTTTCTGCCTAAATTTTGTTTATAAAGGATTAGTTTACCCACGAAGGCCGATATTATTGATTTTGTTTTAATCAGTTAAGATCGTCACCCTGCAGTTGCAAATTAACTTTGTTGAACATTCCAAAGATATCAGTCAAGTAATAAATATTGTTTTACAATTGTTCAGATTTTCTTTCAAATTCGGATCTTTTTCTTGTAAAAACTCTAACACAGACTCAAAAATGGCTGAAAATTTTTCTAAGCAAGAGCCTCTTGATAGCCAGCGAACTTCAGTGTGCAGAAGTAATCAAGTAAAGACTTCGTCGTTTTCCTCACATAGCTGAGCAAATAACCGAGAGTTCAAAGAATTGCTTCGAATCTTGTTGATAGCATTTATTACATATTGTAAAGATTATGCAATCTAGGACTCAGCTTTTTTGCTACTAAATGCTGCCTGTGAATCACGCAGTGAATGACCAGTACATCAGGCAGTTGTCGCTTTAAGTGAGCTATAAAACCACGATGACGACCAACCATAGACGGTGCACCATCAGTCGCAACAGAAACAATGTTCTTCCATGGAATAGCTTTGTCAGTAAAAAAATGTTCCACGGCCTGAAAAATCGATTCTCCTCTGGTATCAGTCTCTAAATATGTAGCAAAAAGCAGTTCTTGGCACATATTTTCATCTTTGATAAATCGAACATATCCTAACAACAGAGCTTCATTGCCGGGTAATGTAGACTCGTCCAACTGGAGAGAGAATCTGTTGGTCTGTAAGAACTTGCATAAAATGTTTTCCACATCGCGTCCCATCTCGTCTATGCGTCTCTGAACGGTGTTTTTGCTCAAAGGTATTCTCTTTAAAATATCATGTGCGGGTTTGTGCAATATATTGTTAAGGACCTCCGAAATGGCTGGTAAGATAAGCTGCTCTCCAATTGTGTGGGGTTTCCCCGACTTCGCTGTTAGTAAAGATATATTATAGGACGCTCGTAAACCATCATCGTCTTTAATAGATGATGACGCAAACATCGATCTTATGGATGGCCTTTTGTCTAGTTTTTCTTTAAGTGCTTGAAAAAATGACGAGCCATTATTCGCCATTATTCCATGGCTAGAAATTGGCCTCAATGATTTGGGATCGAGGGGGATTATCCCTCTCTATCCTGCCTCATCTCGTGTAGGCCTGGACAGCCTTCGTAGGTGGGCCCCATCCGTTGTCTACCCCGACCGCAAATGCGGCCGGTGTAGGCGCTTTGTGGGACCTCCTTTTGTCCTGGCTGGGCCCCGCCGGCTAGGGCCCTTTCTTCTGGCACTCTTCTTGCTTCGCCGGCTCGTCTGTGTAAACCCCGGGGGTGGTGTCATGTTTATGGTTGGGTAGGGTAGTGCGGCTATGTAGCCTGGGATGAGCTTTGCTAAGGTGGCCCTTAGCGCAGCGCGGGAGGGGAGGGTAAAGAGGGTATGGGGGGGTGTGTATGTGTGTGTGTGTGTGTCGTTGTCTTCAAATGACAAGGGCTTACTTTTTTTGTCAGCATGTACTCTTGATAAGTGGTCATCCATTTTTGAAGGCTTCATGGCATCGTTACTGAATACTTTTTCACATATGAGACACATCGGCAAGTGTTGATTTGATGGAGATGCAATAAATCCGAACTTCAAGTAGTCCAAACTGTATTGTCTGCATTTTTTTTCGTGTCCACCAACATAAAACTCAGTAATCCTGCAAATAAAAAACTACCTAAATAAAAAACAATAATAAACTGTTAAATTTGCACACTATCTTATTTTTATCACACCCAGGTAATGAATTCTTGTTAGGTATTACTGACTTACTCATTGATAAACTTGGATACCTATATTAGGTAAGTAACAATAGTAGGTAATTAGGTATAGAAAATTCGTATTAGGTAAGTAGGTACCTATCAGCATAAGAACGAAAACCAAAGCAAACTGAACACTTCAAAGTTTAGGTACCTACTTACTTAACAACTTAAGTGTAAGTAATTTTTACAACTTACTTTAATACTTTTATACCTACTTATTTAAAATATGTTGTATGTTGTGTTTACCACTTTTTCAGTCACTTTACTTCACTTAATTTAGCTATGTAATAACTTTGTAATCTCTTGAAATAAATGAGTACTTTATATGAGTTATTATCGTTCAAGCTCCAACGAATTTCAAAACGCAAATGAACTTTCAACCTAAGTGCAAGCTCGTTAAATAGTAAAATATCAGGAACATGTTTGGACTTGATCATGAATTCGTTCGTGTTAAATCGCGTAAGCGTCAAATAGAGAGCAAGTCAAAACGCGTCTGAAAGACGTACGCTCGAACTCATTATCTTGCACAAACTTGTCCGCACAGACTTGCCGAGTTTTTCATCTTGTACGAACTTGAGACTTTACATTACTACAACAATGCTATTTCCTACAAAAATATTAATTATTCTTAGTACACGTAACACAACATAAACAATACAGTACCTACCTATCTTGAAAGTTTTAAATAAGAACTTGTGTTAATTTAATAGGAGTCGATTTTTAGACCTCGTCGACCCCCCAAAATCAGTTTTCGTTTATGTCGACCCTTAGGAAACCGATATCGACCCCAAGGGGTCGATATCGACCACTTTGGGAATCCCTGCTCTACATCTTGCTCTCTTTTCAAATTTCCATTGTCTTCGTTAGTTTCATGTTCTTTCAAGTCATTTGCATTGTTTTCATTTATCTCTTCTGCACGATCAGACGGTATTAGGCTTTTCATTTGCTCTTCACTGACTTTTTCTGGTACATAAAAAATCACATCTCTACGTATTTTTATGGTTCTGGTTTTTGAGTACCATAAACGATACCCATTTAAACTATATCCTACAAAAATGTACATTTCACTTCTCTTATCAAGTTTTTGAACAGGTCCTAGAATTATTTAATGTGCCTGTGAACCAAATATTTGTAAGTTTGACAGGTCTGGCCGTTTTTCTGTCCATTTCTCCGCCGGAGTTATATTCATTCCTTCAGTAGGACTCCGATTCAATAAATAGGCTGCGGTATACATCGCCTCTCCCCATATTTCTTTATTCATTTCACTGTCGAAGATCAAGGCTCGTGCTTTTTCAAATAGAGTGTGGTTTAATCTTTCCGCTTTGCCATTCAACTGTGATGAGTGCGGAATAGTATAATCCAACACTATACCTCTATTTCTACACCAATTTTTAAATTCGTTTTGAGGGTACTCTCCACCATTATCGCAACGAATCTTTGACACTTTCAGGTTTTTCTCGGCCTCTGCTTCAGATATCGTCAGTGTAATTCGCAAACTGCGTAACTCCATTAGAAGAATTTTACAGGAGAGCATAAAAACTTATCTGCTTAATGGAAATTTAATATTATTGAGCAAAATTGATATATTATATCAAGAATGGGATGCAGATTAATTTTTTGAATCAAAACAGGTAAATTCTGTCTCTTGGCAAAAAAAATGGAGTTAGGCATTTTTCTGATTAGTTTTCTGATTTTTTTTTGGAGATACGCTCTTTGATATAATCATAGGTAGATATTATCTATCGTAACTTTGTATATGATTATTTAGAATAGTGAAAAGTTGCCTGATAATTAAACTGAAAATATGTATTTATACATGTTAATTTATTTATTTATTTAGTTTATAATAAGAAAATATTGTTTTACAGAATTATAACAGGAAAAACAAACAAGAGTTTTTAAGAATGAAATAAATCTAGCCTTCATTCATGGAGCAGTTTGTCATAAAATCCATGATAGTACTTCTCAATACTCTTTTTAGTTGTTGTAAGTGCAGAAATTTTTCTTTTTTTATAGGATTGAGACGATTGAGTTGAAGGATAAAGTAAAGTTATGAAACTTACCTTAAATTCGATGTAGAATCCAAAAATTAAATAAAAAATAGTACATTCCATTCGAAATAAGCGAGTTGACGTCTACTTCCGGTAGAACCGGGAGTTCCACGGCAATGCCAATATTTTCAAGTCCAATAGTTTGAAGAAAATTGCGATCTTTAGTAGATAATTTAGATGTTGACCGCTTAACGTTCTTTCGTAGAATAAACTGGTCTGGGTTATTGTTCATAAATTTATCCTGTTTCCTTGATGGTATGACCAATAATTGGTTTCTCTGATTAAAACAAAATCCCATTACGACCCACTGTTCTAATATAACTTTTTTAGCTTCAATTTTACAATAAGTTTTTCACCGCGAAAATCTGCCAGAGCACCGTTATCATCTAATATACGTAGTGTAATGTTATCGATAAACTGACGCCCTTCAGATCTTATAGTCATATAAATAATATTTTGTGGCGTATGTGCTTCTTCGCCGTTCATGTAGGCTCCTGAGATAATATTGCAATCAATACGAATGATCCTAACTTTCTTAATATCCATTGGAAACGTAGACTCATCCAATATTTGCATGATATATATTTTCAAATCCTACAACACTTGTTAGAGAATGTTGATGTGTCAAATCTAAATCAAATTTAGATCGAATTTCACATTTCAGAGTATTATTGTTGGCTGTTAACATAAATTGATCATCAATGTTAAACTTAGCGTTCTTGTTGTTATGTTTTATTATCGGTTCTATAATCTTTTGAACTGCCATATTAATTTCATCAAGTTCATAAGCACCGGGGGTATTTGAACAAAGGTGGTGGGTGATCCCTCCTTGAATTTGAATCAAATTATGTTGTTTTTCTCATCAATATTTAATATTGAATTATAGGAATAGAAACCATGCAGTCCCAAACCGTATCGACTATATATGTCTAATTCGATCGGTGGATAGAAGTCTGCACTTAATACACTTGAGTATCATGTGAAGGTGAACGTGAGAGCCATGACTGACACATAAAACTTATTCACATAATATTTTATTGTTGATTGCAACAATTCAGAGACATTCTCTTCCCTGAATTTGGTGCTGGTACCACTACATTTGCACTAACGCTAATGTGACATTGTGCAAGGTACAATAACAACAGAAAAATTTTCTTGGCACAGGACCATCATTCACATCTACAGATTCATCAGCTCCGTAATCTTTATTATAATGTTCTAAACAATATGTGCCCATACCATTTACACAATCCAAATTCAATACAGCAGACTCATTATGACGAGGACTGCTCCTACGCTGATTATCACGCATAAATACACCTCGAAAGTTTGGAATTCTCATAATATCAGCATAATAATTAATGTCGATATTACTGAGAGGTTTTCGAGGTAAAAAATTTAAAAGTTTTTTGAATTCTTCGGTTTCAAATATAGTCCTAATCCAGTCCGATACGGTTTTAAATACGATCCTTTTCCATTTTTCCCGAGGGAAATGGCTACCATATCTTTATTATGACGCGATGCTTCAGCAAATTGATCCTTAGCAGTCTTGATGTTATTGATAGTCTTGTATATAGTAGCAGCACCACCAGCTAGACTTCTCTAGGCCGATAGTCCAGCAAATATAGGAATTAACGGTAAAATTCCACCAACTTTTGAAACCGCTATTACTCGCGAAATACGAATATTTCGTTTACCACCAGGTGCTTTAGTAAATCTTTGTGCAGCATTTAATGCAGCTTTTCGTGTGTCCTTGGAAACGAATCGTTTACCTCCAGCTTTTCGCAATTCAGTTCGGACTTTATTAACAACCCCATTACCAAAGCCAACCTTCTTTCCATTCATTTTTCTCTTGACATTCTTATTTCTACGCTTCCTTCTTTTTGCTGTTGTTTTCGTGGACATACATCCCATACCTAAGCGTCGTTTTACCTTCATGATGGTAACTAACCAAGCAGCTGCTTTTTCTTTAATGCTAGCGTCCTTAGATTTAACCCTTTCCCAGGCACGTTGTTCTAATTCGTAATCTGCTTTATGATGCGTAGATAGATCACTAGATTGGTCGTAGCTTATATCGTGTTTTTTACATGCAGTATCAAGAGGGTTAATACCGGGATCCCCTCTCGCTAATCTCTTTTTTAGTTTTGTACCAGGACCACAGTATTGATATCCTCCCGGTAAATGTAGCTCAACGGGAAGTTTGTTTATCAATGAATTGACAAATCGCTGATTTATGCACTTTACGTCTGGACTGTTTTCACATGGAATGTTAACAAACAATTAAATATCTGATACATAATGACATTCATTTTATACTGTTTCAACACTCAATCAATGCGGATTGAAAAACAAAAACAAACATTTGCTGTGGATAATTTAGATGATAGTGTAGGTTGTGGTCTCAGTGTTAACCAGGAAAGTCATGGTCCACTTTTGCCATCAACAATTAGAGGGCTTACAATTGGTTCTTCTAACTCCGGAAAAACAAATGTAATGATTTCTCTCATTACACATCCGCACGGTCTACGTTTGGCCAAAATATATTTGTACACAAAGTCTTTATATCAACCGAAATATGAATATCTGCGCAACATTCTGAAACCTATTCAAGGACTGGAATTCTATACCTTTAATAATAACGCTGAAATTGTTGAACCATCGGATGCTAAACCGGATTCGGTGTTTATATTTGATGATGTTATATGTGAGAAACAAGATGTTATTAGGTCATACTTTAGTATGGGTCGACAAAAATCTGTAGACTGCTTCTATCTTGCTCAAACGTACTCTAGGATTCCAAAACAACTTATAAGGGATAACTCGAACTGGATCGTCATGTTTAAACAAGATGAAATGAATATGCATCACATATTTCAAGACCATGTTTCACCGGACGTAACATTTAAAGAATTTCAGATGTGTGCCGAGTGTTGGAAAGATAATTAGGGGTTTTTAGTTATTGACAAGGACAGAAAATTAGAAGAAGGTAAATATCGAAAAGGTTTAGACAGTTACATATTGTTATTATGTGTTATGTTATTTGTTATTCAAACAACGTCGAGTTCACATCAAAAAATGAAGAAGGGAGAGAATAATAAATATGACCATAATGCTAGCGATATCGAATTAAAACACAAATTAGTTGAAGTGACAGACGCAGTTCGAAAAAAAATCAAGTGGCATTAGAAAATAATATATATGAACCCATCACAAAACCTTTAAAAAGCATATCTGCAGCAGCACAAGCAAATCGTAAATATCAATCTCCAGCAGGAACACAACCTAAAATAAGCCATATAAATTTTCAAATGCTGAATATGCTGATATTGTGTTCTGTTACGGATTGTGTAATGGTAACGCGTTGGGGGCATCTCGAGAATACAGACGGAGGTTTACTGATAGACGACATCCAAATTCTCAAGTATTTACTGATACATTTCAAAGACTCCATGAAACTGGTAATGTAAGAAAAACCACAACATTAGAGCACAGATATCAAAGAATAAATTTGAGAATTATTCGAGCATTTCATAACAATCCTCGACTAAGCGTGAGAAAAGCAAGCCAGCAGCTGCAATTAAATAAAAACAAGGTATGGCGAACTCTTAAAAAAGATCATCAACATGCATATCATTTTAAAAAGGTTCAAAATTTGCACCCTGGAGATGCGCAGAATCGAATTAATTTCTGCTATTGGTTGTTAAATCAAATCGAAAATGATGTTGATTTTGTTTCTAAGGTTCTGTGGACAGACGAAGCGTGTTTTACGAGACGAGGCGTTGTGAACCATCACAATTTACACTTGTGGCAACATGAAAACCCACACGCTATTAGGCCGTCATCATTTCAAAATGAATTTAGTGTGAATGTTTGGTTGGGTTTTATTAATGGA